TTTTTTTTCTTTTTAAATAATCACATCATAAACATCCTGCGTGTCGATTACAAGCCGTGGTGAACAGACAATAGCGTTAGCTGTAGTTTGCATTTGAGTGGAATGTGTGAGTGAGGATGGAAAAAAAAATGGATCTCAGGCTTTAAATGTTTAGTCCATGAACATGTTTGTGTGCATTTGTGTTTTTTTTTCCTCATTGGTCTGTGTGTTTTTTTTTGTCTCCGTCTTTGTAAGCTGCCGACCTTTTTTGGGAGGGGGTCAGTGTGCGGAGGGGAAGCTGGGTGTGTTTGTGGTGGGGCAGTACTGGTCCATCCACAGACGCACGGGGCTGTTTCGGCGTTAGTTCAGCGACGGGGAGCGGTCGGTGGTCCACAGCAGCTCGATGTAGGGCCACTTGGTCTGTAGGCAGCGCTTCACGGGGGTGTCGTCCGTCCGAACCATCGGGTCCTCGAAACCTAGCACGAGAGCGGTCCCTTCTACGTACTCCACCTGAGGACACAAAAACACGTCACAGTAAAAACACACTCATCTCCGCAGGGCTTTTGGTGTCACCAGTGAAATACGATGGGACGGATGCAAGGATACAGCGGATTCCCACAAAGGCCGGCTGTAGGGGACTGCTGTCAGACGGTCTGTTATTCCCATCTGGATCTATGGGAATGGAATTGCCATCACAAGCTTATAGGCGCCTTGCTGCCATGTGCACGAGTGTAGGCGTGCACTTTTGTGTGGGCACACATGTGGTACCATTCCTGCAATTTCAGGTAGCAGTGTGGAAAAAAACAGAAGCCGTTTTTCAGACTCGACAAAGTTGACAGATGAAGAAACTGATATTCCTGAGTACCAGTTTTGTGCGCAGCCACCAACGACATCCGCTGACAGTCATCCATCAAACTAAGCCTGCCTAATAGGCCTGCGTTCGGCCATTTATCACGGCGAGGCTGCCGACAGTGGCCTCCGTGTTGAAACGGCTCGGAGAAATGGGAGGCTAAGCCAGGGTTTTTTTGGATGGATGGACAGGCTATTAGGCTCGCAATAGCTACTGTTTATTCTGGAGTGACTGGCCGCCTCAAGCTGTGTGTATGTGTGTATGAATGATGGCAGGAAAAGAAGAGAGGTAATTGGGAAGGAGAGAGAGAACATAAAAAGCAACCACCATCATTAGTTACTATGAGAAACCTAAATATGAAAGAGTGTCTTACCCTCTCTTTGTGGTTGGACTGTTTAAGACCATTGTAGTGGTAGACGGGAAATGAGTCTGGGATTCCTGAATCCTGAAACACAAGCAGGGAGGAGGGTGAAAAACATGCTATGTTGTTAAAGAGCGTCTGAACAAAAAAAGAAAAAAAGACCCACAGAGGAGGAACACATTTGCAAACCAAAGAGTCAAACAACCAAATGTTTAATCCCACGTGTTAAATAAGTGTGTGTGCCTCCAGTTACCGCAAAAAACAGCCAACGCTACAAAAATGTTCGAATGACGACAATGAGCCAAAACACTTTGGCCCGAAGGTGGAGAGAGCTAATAGGGTGTGTTGTCTGCGAGCGTGTCCAGCTTCTCGTGTTTATATGCCTATATATGAAACCCTAACCCTCACCCCAATCCCACGTGTGTCTGAGTGTGTGTGTCCAGTTGGCTAATGGTAGTGTAATTTCTTTGCGGCTTGAGGCCGTTCCTCTGGTGAGTCCCTAAAGCCCTGATCACTTTAACACAGCTCCCCGCTATCTCTCCCCCTCTGTCTTCCTCGCTCGCTCTGCCTCATAAAGGGCATCTTAAAGCTGTTCCTACACTTCTCATCGAGGAAGCGTAATACAATGGCGAACACACACGCACACACATATATTTCATATGAGACACCGCAGGAATGTTTCTGGCATAAAAACCTTTGATTTGCTAAAACAGCACTCCACATATGCTCGGGAAATAGACATTAGTGTCACCCACATGTGTGTGTACACAACGGCTCCTCCATATGTTTTAGCTGTGATATGGATTGAATGACGGGTGGAAGGTATTTGTCATAATGCTTTTTACACTGGTGCCCCAAACCTTTTCATTTAGATGCACATAATTTAGGTGAACATTTTTCCACTGTGAAAACGGTAAAGAAGTTTCCACGAATGTCACATTATGTAAGTGGTTATATATAACCCCGATTTGGATGCTGAAAGTTAGTAAAAAGGAAGCTCTTCTTTGGCTATATTATAAGCAGTGTAACATTTTAGTATTATTTCTGACCCGTCACTGCTTGGATTTGCCGTTGATGCACCTGTCACAACACAGGATACGTTTCTTGGAGACGTGGTGCATTTTTCATGTTTCAACTCCGAATGCTGATTCTCTGACAGCACAAACACTGTTTCCAGACAAGCTCTGGCTGCCCCTCTTTTCAATAAATGCAATAATCCAATAATGTTGCCTGTTTTATCATGTCTCAGCGATTCTCAAAGACTGAGAAGGTACTTGTGGCTGTGGGTGGTGCGGCTTTGGAGAGTACAATTAACAGATTCAATGATAGTTTTAGCATGTTTCCTTCTTTCTGTCTTTGTTTTTTTTCTTTTTAAA